CAATAGTTCCCTTTATGTATCTCAACACCCTCTTCACTGCGATGAGATGACATTATTGAGGCTTCTCCATAAATCTACTCAACGCTCCTACACTTTGGCAGATATCTGGTCTAGTATTGCAAAGATACCTCAAGGATCCAATGATTTGTTTGTAAAGGTTCGAACTTACAAACTCATCATTCGATTCCCTTTTCAGCTTTGATCCAGTCTCTAATGGAGTAACAACTGCCTTACAGTTTCTCATATTGAACCTCTTCAGTATATCTTGAGCATAATTCTTTTGATGCAAGAAAACTCCTCCTTCGACGTCTTTGAATTCCATTCCCAGGAAATAGGAGAGATTCCCTAAATCAAACATTTCAAATTCCTGCATTAACTTCGACTTTACCTTCATTATCTCAGCTTCGTCTGCTCTTGTAATGAGTAAGTCATCAACATAGAGGCATAAAATGATTCGATTGACACTTTCGACATCATTTACATACACTCCATGTTTAGAGACACACTTTGTGAAACCTGCTTCGATTAGGAAGCTATCTATCCTTTTATTCCAAGCTCTAAAACCTTGCTTCAAGCCATAAATAGCCTTCCTTAATCTGTAAACTTTCGAATCTTTCCCTTTGACGTCGAAACCTAGTGGTTGAGTAACGTAGACTTCTTCTTCTAATGGGCCATTTAAAAATGTTGACTTTACATCAAGTTGGTGTATTTTCATCCTCTACATGCAGCTATCAAAACAACAATCCTGATTGTTTCGATCCTTGCAACAGGCGTATATACTTCATCGAAGTCAATACCAGGTTTTTGTAGAAAACCTCTAGCCACCAGTCTTGTCTTATACTTTGCAATCTAATCATTTGGCCTTCGTTTCACCTTGTAAATCCATTTCACACCAATTGGTTTCTTGTTGGTTCTTCCGACAAACTTCCAAGTTTTGTTCTTCTCAATGGCTCTAAGTTCTTCTTTCATGGCTTCACACCAATTCAAATTCCTCAAGGATTCACCCAAATCAATTGGTTCTGCTTTAGCCATCATCATGGCTTCTTTGATTAAGTCACCATCTGCATCGATTGCTTGATCTAGAAACCTTTCATATCTAATCAGCCTAGTCGACTCAGTTCTTGTTCTTGTGGATCTTCTTTCATTCTGCACATGTGGTTCTTCATTTCGACTTGTCGAAGCTTCGTTTTGTTCATCTTCTTCAAACACGGTTATGAATGTGTTTGATTCATGTCGAACTGAACTTTGACTCCAATCCCATCTTTTGCTTTCGTCTACAAGAACGTCTCTACTAATCACTAGTTTATCTTTGATTGGTGAATACAACTTGTATGCACCAGTCGAATGATAACCTATGAGCACCATGACTTCACTACGATCATCCAACTTCTTTCTCAATTGTTTAGGTACATGCCTGAAACACATTGATCCAAAAATTCTAAGATGACTTACATTTGGCTTCGACCCTGTCCAAGCCTCATGCAGTGTCTTTTTGACCATCTTCTTTGTTGGGCATCTATTTAGAATGTATACTGCTGTCGAAGCTGCTTCAACCCAAAATCTTTTAGGCATATTCTTAGCTTTCAACATACATCTCATCATTTTCAGTACACTTCTATTCTTTCTCTCGGCTATGCCATTATGTTGAGGCATATAGGGTGCAATAACCTCATGCTCTATACCTTCCTCATTGCAAAATCTAGCAAATTTAGCAGAAGTATATTCACCAGCACCATCAGTTCTTAACTTCTTCAATTGGCAGCCACTTTGTTTCTCAGCATGCAACTTGAACTTCTTGAACTGTGTGAATACCTCACTCTTCCTTTCAATAAGGTAAATCTACATATGTTTGGTGAATTCATCAATGAAAGTAAGGAAATACCTATTACCTCCATTGGACTTTACTTCAAAGAGTCCACACACATCTGAATGAACCAGCTCCAGTTTTTGCCTTGATCTTATAGACAAATCACGTTTGAATGCCTTCCTTTCCTGTTTAGCTTTGCAGCATTCCTCACATATCTGCTTTGGTTTCTTCACATACGGTAACCCAAGCACCATTCTTTTCTTATTGAGCATACATAAACTCTTAAAGTTTAGATGTCTATACTTGTGATGTCATAGCTAGTTCTTGTCTTCTTCTATAGTCGAAGCAAGACATTTGTGATCTGATGTGTTGAGTTCAACCCTGAACGCTTTGTTCTTCGCCAATGGTGCTTTCATAATTAGCCTCCCATCAGTCCTATATACCTTCATCTGATTATTCTCCAACTTCATATTGAAGCCTTTTGCAAGTAATTGACCTACACTTATCAAGTTACTTGTCATCGAAGATACATATAGAACTTCAGTGATAGTAGCCTTTCGACCATCCTTTTTTATAATCAAAATATCTCCTTTACCACCTGACTTGATATGCCTGCCATCTGCAAACTTTATCACCTTTTTGACTGACTCATCTAACTTGATAAACCAATTTTTATTGTCAGTCATGTGGTTGCTACATCCTGAATCCAGATACCACATGTTATTTTTCTCAGTAATCGACTGAGTGTTCACCAACAACAACACATCATCATAATCACTATCTTCAGCTCGTGCATATTGAGCTTTATCATTATCTTTCGACCTTGCAACTTTCTTTCTTCGAAAGTCTCTAGCATAGTGGCCAAAACCTTGACAATTGTAACATTGCACCTATTTCGTGTCAACTTTCTTTCCATAATACTTGTTGCCCACACCTTTTGAATCAGTATTCTTGCTTGACTTCTCATCACCAGCAAGATTCTTTCGCTGCTTCGACTTCTCTTTTCCAGCTTTCTTGCTGAATCTTAATTGCAATGATTGTTCAGTTGTCATCTCTCTTTCTGAGTTTCTCTGCTGTAGCCTCATTTCGTGAGCCTCCAATGAAGTTTGAAGTTCTTCCAACTTCATCTCAGAGAGATTCTTGGTCTCTTCAATTGTTACAACAAAGTAATCAAAATCTTTAATTAGAGATCTCAATACCTTTTCTATCTTTTGCAGATCCATTAGTGCTTCACCACACGCATTCATCTAGTTTGTTAGCGTCGCCACTCTTGAGAAATTGCAGAAATTGATTCATCCTCTTTCATCTAAAGCATCTCGTACTGCTTTCTCAGAGTCTGCAACTTCACCTTCTTCAGTTTCTCATCTCCACCATACAAGGATTTCAGCTTTTCCTAAACTCCTTTTGTTGTTTCTTCTTCAATTATCTTCTCAAATACATCACAACCACACATTGGTGAATCAAGAACAACGCCTTGCCATCTTTCTTCTTCTGATCTTTGTGCGCAGCTTTCTGGGCTTCCATAACATCTACATCCAGTTGTGATATTCTATCATTCAAGATTTCTTCAACATCTTGAAATCTGAAACTAACCTTCATTTTTGCCACCAATCGTTGATAGTTTTCACTTTTGAAAATCGATAAATTCACTGAAAACTGTGTTGATATTATTGATCCGTTTTCCATTAGATTCTCTCTGAATCGCAAACAAACTCTTAATACCAATTTGTTGGAACAAAGAATTCAAGAAAGATGATTTTATGAAAACAAGAAGAAGAAGAAGAAGAAGAAGAAGAGAGAGAGAGAGAGAGAGAGAGAGAGAGAGAGAGAGAGAGAGAGAGAGAGAGAGAGAGAGAGAGAGAGAGAGAGAGAGAGAGAGAGAGAGAGAGAGATGATGAGTTAGTTAAGTGTAACTAACTATCTAACTGAATTTATTATTACTCTGCTTTTGCACTACTTGATTACAAATATAATGACTCTTTATATAGACAAAAATATCCAAACTTAAATATATACTAAAAATTCAAATAACTCCATAATAAAAATTAACTAACTAACAAAAAAAATATTAATTAAAAAAAACATATAAGTTATCGAATGTGGTTAGTTCATGCATTTCTTAAGATCAATTTTTTAGATTTTTAATTTTATATAAATTTGACTTGTATGGCTATTTGACTTTTAACACGAAGATATATATATATAATTTGTTGAGCGTGTATACGTAATTATATCGTAACTTGATTTACTTTTTAAATAAAATTAATTATTACATTATAGTTTGTGTTTTAGTCAAAATACAATTTAATGATAATTTTCTAACTATAATTATATTTTGAAAAAAAATATATAAATATTATATTTTAAAGAAGCTTATGCAAGTAAGTATGCTCTAAAAAATATTATCATACACTAGTCATCTCAAATGACATATACATTAAAATTTTTTTTAAAGGAGACGTTAAGTGAAATGACGCTTAATTATTTTTATTTATCTGTGTAGATGTTTATGAGATTTGAAATTTTATACAGATTTATTTAAAGATTAACATGCAGACTATTTTCTTCAGTTAATTCCATAAAAAAATTTGTAGAAAATTTGTAGATAAATTTGCAGATAATGTTGATCTGCAGAAAAATCTACAGATAAATAAAAAAATTTGAGGTGCCAATTCAATACACCTTCTCTTTAATTCACATTTTTTAAAAGCATAATTAGTTATATATTTTTCTATGAAATACGATTATTTAAGGGACATAGGTAGTAGTACTCTTGTGTTGATTTATGTTGGTGCGTTTGTTTTTTGTTTTTACACGGTATTTGCTTTTGAAATTTACGTAAAATATCGTTGAGGTTTTTAAAAAATATTTTATATACATTTATCTTAATTGTTATAGCTCTTATTATCAATATAAACAGGTGAGCAGTCCTGAATCAAGCGAAAGTAATGTAATCTTCTTGTATAGAGGAAACCATATAGACTTATTGCAACAACTATTTTTATTTTCTATAAATATAATTACACGCACACACAAAAATTCATGGTCATCATCATCTGCATACACACACGAGTGATCATTTACAGAAACAAATAATGACAAATAAATAAATCAAACTTTGTAACCGACTAAAGTAAGAATTCAATAGAACTAAAAATATATATAGACAAAGAAAGACATCTAAGCTAAAACCATGGAGACGAAGATTCCAGCAATAGAAGTAACGGCAACAAAGGTATTTGTGATGGAGAATGCAGCAGAGGGTGCCTCAGCTCCTCCCGGTTGTTCTGGTGCTGGGCCATTTGTGGTTGGTGCCGGCGGAGAAGAAGTGTTTGGGGTTGGTGATGAAGGAGAGGGTGCTGGAGAAGGAGTTGTTGTAGGAGAAGGTGTTGGTGATGTGTTTGTGGAGGAGGGTGATGGAGCAGGTGCTGTATTAGGTGATAATGATCGGGTAGGTGCGGGTGCAGGAGCTTGTTGTGCTATGCATGAGGTAGCTAACAACCCTAGTATCACAAACACTTTAATTGCAACAGAACCCATCTTTTATATGTGTTTTTTGATACAGAATAATCTTGAGTCAAATATGATTGAATGAATTAAGGTTATTGAGATTCTTACAAATTTTTTTTGTGTATTGTTGAATTGCATAACTTGTGTATATATAGTGGAAAATAGATTTATAGATTTGATATATTGCGAAGGCGGTGTGTGATTAAATAATGGGTCAAAGACTACTTTTCTTTTTTAGCTAGGGCGGTTGTGTTATGTGACTTTTGGTTAACAATGGTTTAAAAAAAAAAAAACTAGTTTTCCTTATTTGTTAAAAGATATTCTTTTTCTATATGCAACTTTCTTTTGTGTGTTTGCAAGTTAAGTAATACGACAGGGTGGTAGACTTGGTATAACCGCGTTTAACCATTCTCAATTTGACTTTTCTGCCGCTGTTTCTAGATTACCGAACATTCAAACATTTGATTTGTTCACGTAACGTTATTATGTGACCACTAAACAAAAACTCGTGAGGCCTCTCTCCTTGCCCCTTATCTAGAAATTTCTACAATTCTAACACAATGTTTCCAACTACTATTTGGCGGTCTCACATTGTTTAATTTCGTTAAGAAATAGATAGTCTAAAGATATATAAATGATTTAAATTTTTATTATAAAATACATAAATTAAAAACACTTTAAATTTATATTTTGATTTTATTTATTTATTTTTGTGTTAGAGTGTTGGAAGAAATAATTAAATATTTATTTTAGAAGGTACAGGTGTATTGAAAGTTGGGAATGCTTGATAGTATTATGTGTTGTGATAATTTTTACAGTATTATTTTTTTATTGTTATTTGATAATAGATATGGTTCTTTTTCTGTTTTGAAATTTTCACGTTATATGTTATTGTATTGTGATTGTGTTTTTTTATTTTCTTTTTTCTATTTTTCTAACAAGTAATATTATGCTCGTTAGAAGAGCAGAAGTGGATCTTAGTATGGATCAAGTCTACTGATGAGAGTGATTCACACTTGTGAGAGAGATTATTGGGACTCAAATGTGAGTTGTAAAGTCTCAGATCGACTAGAAATTGAGAAAATGTTGGATATATAAGAAAAATGACTCATATCGCTGATGTCTTAAGGTTTTTGGTGGATATATATTTGGTGTCAAGGTCTCTTGAATCTTGAACGTTTAACTTAGTGACACTTTTGGTGCTTCATTCTTCATACTCTTCAACAAGTGGTATTAGAGTTTTTGGTTCAATCTAAGAATATGAGTTCGTAGTATGCTCTCTGTTTGCATGAAAGTCTGATCTTCACTACACCAAATATAAGATTAGACAGCACACCTAAGGCAGTGCTTCTTATCAAAAGTGCTGCTAAAAGTGCATTTTAAAAATACATAAATTTTGTCCTATGCCTTAGACAACACTTTCTAAAAAAGCGCTGCTTAAGGGGGGTGAATATTGTTTGATAAAGCGTTGTTAAAGGGGGTAGGTCCTGAAGTGCTGCCTAAAGGGTGGGCTTACAAAGAGCTTTTCAGAAGCGCTGCCTAAAGGGTGGGTTTACAAAGCGTTTTTCAGAAGCACTGCTTAAAGGGGATTAATGTGAATTTATAAAGCGCTGCTAAAGAGGGTAGGTATTGTAGTGCTTTGGAGAAGCGCTGCCTAAAGGGTGGGCTTACAAAGCGTTTTGCTAAAGCACTGCCTAAAGGGGGGATTAAGCGGCGCTTTCTACTACAAGCGTTGCCTAAAGTCATGTTATAAAAAAATAAAACATGCGCCCAACATAAAACACAATAACACGTTATTATTTGCAAAATTCATTTTCAGAATACAATAGTTACGAACAAAACCCACTTTGATGTCATTTTTCGTTTGATTCTTGACAAAATCGTTGCATCCTTTCTTCCATTCACAACCAAGATTCTCTTCTCCTCTAGGTATGATTTTTAATATATTTGATATATTTGATAATGTTGATATATAATATTGCATTTGGTTTAGTTGATAGTGTTGTTTTAGTGTTGATTTAGTGTTGATAATGTTGCATTATGGTGTGTTTTGTGTGACATGTGGTTTTTGCATGTAAGGTGTTTGGGAAAATGTCACAATGAGATTGCATGTAAGGTATTTGTGTAAATGTCACAATGAATATTGCATGTATTGAATGAGATCAAAAAGCATTGTAATTGAAATGTGTATACATTACCATTGCGATTATTATTGTGAAAAGTTGGTTTTTAGACAAGAGTCACGGATGAGACACAAAGATGAAATGTTTTATTAAAATCGGTGATTAGAAATTGATAAAGAAATAGTTTATATAGTGATAAAAATTCTAGAGAAAAGAGACATGTTACATAAAGTATTTATGAGTCAATAGAATTATGGAAACTTGGATTCTCTAATGTAAGAGTCATACTAACACATAAATTAAGATAGTTAAACAAATTATGATTATTGGATTAAAATTTGAAGATCTAGATTTGAAGTTAGAATATAATTTGAAGGAAAAAAAAATGAAAGTTACACTTTATGAGCCATTTGATTAATATAGAGTCACATGAATTATTTGATTGATTTATATTTTCAATGTAGAATATTAAAATAGATCTTTATTAAACAAATTTTTTTATTAATATTTTACCTTCATATTTTAAAATCAAATATTTATTTATTTTTTTAAAAATTATAACAGTAAAATATATGTTAAAAAGAATATTAGTGATTATTTAATGGTGTATACATATATGTTTAATGTTGTATAAATCTTCTAATGTAGTTCTTATTCTATAGATTTGTTTTATTATAATGAAATTAATTGATCATTTATATAGGTTACTTGTGAAGAGTGAAGTTTCTGAGCGTTTCCAAGAATATTACACTGTGTGGTTTCAAAAGTTATTGACTTCTCTACAGGTATTTAATTGTTCTTTTAATTTTCTATAGTTGCTTGAATAATTATAGTATTTTTATTTTCGATGAATATGCCTAAGTGGTATTAAGCTTTTTAGTCTTTGTCCTTTTTTTAAGTATTGTTTTTGTTTAGCTTACTTAATAGTAAGACCATGGATAAAAAATGGATGTCTGCCAATCGATTATCCAAAGAGTACGAGAATAGGGTATTGGAATTCGTTAAGTTTGCTGTTGAACACGCCGAAGACGCCAATCGAATGAAATGTCCTTGCTTAAGTTATTGTTTTATGGGTCGGGTTGACACAGTTAGGTTGCAATCGCATTTATTGAGGCGTGGAATTGATCGAAGTTACACATGTTGGATATTCCATGGTGAGAAAAGTTACGAGAATGTTGAACCGGGGGATAGTAAGACATACGCTTCAGACATACGATAATGACATAGATACATATGATTGTGATCGAGTCGAAGAGATTATAGAAGCACTTGAAGAAGATCTTCAGGATTGTCCCAAAATGTTTGAGAGGTTGGTAAGCGATGCAGAGAAACCGTTGTATAAAGGTTGCACTAAATTCACAAGACTGTCTGCGGTATTAAAGTTGTACAACTTAAAGGCGGGCAATGGATGGTCGGATAAAAGTTTCACATAGTCATTAGCCATTATGAGAGATATGCTTCCAGAGGATAATGTTCTTCCTAATCGAACTTGTAACACCCGGAAATTCATTAAATTATTTAAATGAATTATTGAGGATTTAATTGTTGGAATTTAGTCGAAGAAGGAATTATCGGAATAATTATAAGGAGCATTATTGGATTAAATATATATTGTTAGAATTGATAATCAAATAATTAGTCAATTTAGTCAAGAGAAATTAATATTGGAAATAATGTTGATTTTAATAGAATTTTATCTTATTAGTTGGGTCAAGTGGGGTGTGTGAAATAGCAAGATTAGGAATAGCATTAACAGACCCATTAAAGTTACTAGTAGACCTATTATTATTATATTAGGTTATGATATATAGAAGCTAGCAGTCAAAAACCAAAAGAAAAACAATTATCACGTAGCAGTAGAAGAAACAAGGTTTTGGAGGCACTAAGTGGGAGGCAAGAAAATTTAGAGAAGTTTCCATCAAGCCAGTTGCAGTTTCAACCGGAGAATTCGACCGACCGGAAAACCAAAAGGTAAGGGTGGGGTTTGGATTTTATAACCGGGAATATGATGGTTAGTATGTGGGGGATTTAGGGCGTGAATTTATTATTGTTGTGTTTGTTTATGGCAATGGATGCTAGGAATTAATTAGTGTTGATTATTGGTGAAATTTCATGTTCCTGTGTTATGCGTTGGTTAGTCTGTGAATCGTTATACGTTGGTTCTGTGAATAGAATGAAACTAACAGGAAGTTGCAGAAAATTATTCATAATGGGGCATGCCGATCATCAGGCTGTTCGTTTTTGTTGGATGTCGGTCGACAAGGTGGGGATGAAGAGTGACGATCGACAAGGTGTGTGGGTAGAGGCTGCCGGTCGGCAGCCTTGAGAGGGAAGAAGAGTGTCGTTCGACACTGTCTGTTATGTGCAAAGGAACTTGTTTCTTTCTGTAGTAATATGTTATATACATTTTTATGGTATCAATATGGAATTCATTGATACAAAAGCAAAGCAGTTAGGGAACAAATTGAACCATTCTTATCAGTAGTATCAATAATATGTTATAGCAGAAAAATATTAATAGAAGTAGCCCTCATGTTAGTAATCTTAAGCTAGTAGTTATAATATAATTTTAACAACCTGTAGAAATAAGACAGAGTTGGAAATAATTAGTAAAGTTGTAGTAACTATTTTAGAGGATTGATTAAATAGCAGAAGAAAAGATATATTGCCAGTTAGTTATTTAGAAGTGAATATTAGGAGAATAATTAAATAATGAAGAATTAATACATAGAGACTTATGGGAGTGTTTTGGGAACGACTATCATGTTTGTGTTTTCCTTTGTGAAGTGCATTGATGCTATGATGTTGCGAATATTTTTTGAAGATGCATGAATTGTTATGACGAAGATTTACCTCTATTAATTGGTAATAACAGTGATATAGGCTTATGGCCAACGTTGTTTCTTGTTGATGTTGTTGTCATGAATTGTTTTTAATTACGTTGATGACGTTGTAGGCCTAT